TCTAAAATACTGCGCCTCTCTTCTATCTTTTTTTTCTTTTTTCTCTTTTCTTTGTCTAAAATACTGCGCCTCTCTTCTATTTTTTTTTTCTTTTTTCTTTGTCTAAAATACTGCGCCTCTCTTCTATTTTTTTTTCTTTTTTCTTTGTCTAAAATACTGCGCGTCTGTTCAATGTCTCAATACTTTTGATTTTGATTTTGATTTTATTGATCGTGATAATGGGATTAGATCCTTCTTTTAATTATCTAAGCTTGTGTGACCCAACCGAGCGACGGTATTAGATTCAACAATAGTTAGTATTCATAGTCAGTAGTTCAGTAATTAGTACCAGTTACTAACAATTAACGATTAGGTAGAATCAGCAATAGTTAGTATTCAATGGACAGTTATCAACAGTTGGTACCAGTTAATACCCCATAATGATAAGTGAATATCAATCACTTAATAATTAGTATTAAGGTCATCTTTAAAAATATAAAATTGGGAAATAAGGCGTTTTCCTTTAATAGGCTCTCAGTTTATGCAATTAAAAATGACAAGATTTTTGCTTACCTTCTCTTGCATAATAAAAGATATCTGAGGACCTTTTCACAACCCTTATTGAGAGTCCATAGAAACTGCAACAAAAAAAAATAATTCACAAACACATCAACATAACATAGAACTGCAACATGGTCTTATTATTGACAAATCTTGCATTGTGAAATGATTCTGTCTCATTCACGGTTTTTCCTCATTTTTTTTATCTTATCCTTTTTTTTCATTTTTTGGGGCGTGATTTGTAAAGTTTTAACGAGAAATTGCCAAATTCGTGGCATAAAACCAAGATTCGCAAGTTGAGCATCAGACAAAAAATGTTTTATTGCTTCCTAAGGGATTATGCCATCAAACAGGCGTTTTTTAAGGGTTAGGGACATCATAAACAAAGGATTTTTTTCTCTGTTTATCAAGGGTGGATTATGATATCATCTTTCGAAATAGATTTAATGTTTTGTTGTGTTTTTTTTTTTCAAAGATAAACGTATATATCAAGTGTGTTTATGTACTGCGAACGTGTGTATGCCTGTTGGTATGTGTATGTAAGCGTTTATGTTTATCTGTACGTGTGTGATTCATCTTCTCTTTAATTGCAGATTAACGATTGGAAAAATTGGGGCAGCGCTAACCTCTCCTGTAATCCCGCGCAGTCTGTAATCCTCCCTTATAAATCAATCACCACTGGAATCCTCGACGTCGATCAACCGAGTAATATAAGAGATAAATACGTCAATGACATTTTCAAAATCCTCATTTCCATAACGTTTTGGCAAAGGCCTTCTCTAAAGTACTTTCCGTAAGGTTAAATTAAGGACACGAGGTTTCCCATTGACTTTCCCTTCGTGTCACATCTTCCCGTTTTCTGCCTTCAGGACACCACCTTACGTCACCAGTCCTGATCCAGCTTATCAGCGATTCCCTTCAACAAAAATTGGTCTTTCAAAATGTTGATAAGCTTATCACAAGAAATCCTAGGGATGATTTTTTAATACCTCTGACCGATGTCCATGTGCCTCATTTGTGCTCCGGCTGTGTTGGGAAGCGGGTGACAGGTTCCGCGTGTGAAGGAAAAAGAGACAAAGGGGGAAAAAAGCATTTCTCAAGAGTTTGCAACGGCGTCACCAGTCATCATCTGATATAAATGGTGAGATTATTTTTATTGCTTGTGGGAAAGTGCCAAAGTGTTGGCGCAAATGCGTGTTTTTTTTCTTCTTCTTCTTCTCCGTGGCCTAACCTAATTTATTCTACCCTGCTGTGATTTAGCTTAAGCTAACAAATAATTTCCCATTCTGTTTTACCTAAAACTATCCTGTCCTCTCCTAACTTGGCCTAACGTAGCTTAATTAGGGAATATGTATGTTGTAAGAAAACCACGTCCGTGAAGGATTTCGTGCATGACCGGTTGTAGACTCTGCACTCGTCCAGGTAACTATAGGCTTGTACACTGTCATGCACATGCGTACATACATATTAACGCACACACACACACACATCTGTCTGTGCGTGTGCGTGCAAACATGTGTGTGTGTGTGTGTGTGTGTAGGAGGGGGAATACTCCACCACACTTACGTAGATGGATAAATAGATATGTGCATATATAGCCATCATGTATACATGCATATATACATATATACCTGCATACATGTGTGTGTGTGTGTGCACGCGCGTGTATATATGTGTATTATATATATATTTATACATTTACATACATACAAATATATAGATAGATATGTGTGTGTGTGCCAGCGTGTGTCTGTACACGCATACATTTCTACACCATCTTGTATGTTCCATCTTCCTATCTGAAGGGATCTTAAACACTAATAAAAAGCAGAGCAGAGCAGTTCACTACAGGTAATTGGTAACCCAATAGGTTTGAACTGTTCAGGATTCTCAAATGGGCTCTAAAATACACTGACATTCGCGACAGGTTGCTTTCAACAGTTCTGAACGGATCATGTGT